GGGGCACAAATTTGCATCCGAATAGCGGGAACTCTTTGCACCGTGCATTTCTGTGCTGCAAAGAAGAAATGCATCCTGCAAAGGAAACTGCAAATTGTTGGGAACTCTCCTGCACGCAGGCTCTCAATTGCAGCAGAACACTGCCGTGCAAAGGAGCTCTCGTGTGGCCAGGAAATTCCATAGTGCCGAGGCACAAAAATCACTGGGTCGTGACAGAATTCACACTCATTTCTTACTGGGAAGTTGTCTTGCACTATCGTAAGCTCTAGATACTCTCTTCCTTGAAATGGAGCTGCGATTCTGCGTCTCCCCCGAGAGCTTCCGACTCACCCCGGGGCAGTGAGACTTTCAGGCTCTGTTAATACAAAGTTGTCCTTCTTCCTTCGCCAGGCTGTGAACGTCCCATAATTAAAGGGTTCATCAATAAGGATGTGCTGCTGCCCTGCACAGCTGAGCAAAAGGGCCCCTTCCACCTGGAAGAGGTTGTGGTTAATTGGCAGAGTTCAGACAATCGGGAAATCGTGCACAGCTTCTACCACGGCGAGGACCATGCAGAGCACCAAGCGCAAAGGCTGCGGGGAAGAACCCAGCTCTTTCCCCAGGAGTTCCCCAGCGGCAACGCGTCCCTGTTGTTGAGAAGATTATCCATCCAGGATGCAGGGAACTACACCTGTCACGCTGTTGTATATGATGCAGCTCCTTTTACTGAGCACAACCTCCAGCTTCACGTCCTAGGTGGGTCAGTAATTCTCCCTGTTTGCACGTGCCTGGAAATGCCCTTTGAAGGATGACGTTTTGAAATGAATCTTGCCCTGCGAGGAGTCAGGTTTGAGATACAACGCAAACCTCATTATAATAGTAATTTTGACCACGCTTTGGGATTTTATATCTGCCCAGTCATGCAGATGTGACAGGTAGCTAGCCAGGCTTTAATGTCATTACTCCAGTCCAGCTACAGCTCAGATTAATAGTTGATTAAGGAAAGGTGGGAGCTGTGTGCTGCCAGCCCTCTGTTTTCAGCCACATCTTTCTGGGGACAGGACTCCAAGACCATGACCTCAATTGTTTCCAAAAATATAAAATAGTTCAGCTGTTTAAAACAAAAACCTGCCTGTCAACCTGCTTGTGTGTCTCCGTCCCCCACCGCTGTCACACCACAAGTACAGACTTGTTCAGGATCAGCTCTGTCCAAACCATCCTACACAAATCCATCATCTAAACTCTTTGTAAAACTGCCATCCACCCTGACATAACACTAGACACCAGCCCCCAACCTGCCAGGGTGTGATCAGGAAGCATCAATTTTCCATAAAAGGTTTTAACTTTCTGTCAAAATCTCAGCCCCCGGAGACAAACGTTTTTGTGCAAGAGGCCGGAAGAAACGTGCTCCTTCTAGGACCAAAGCCAGATGTCCCTGGCTAGAGGGTCTTGCCGGTGTGCTTCGGGTCAGACAGATCACCGTATTTGGGGCCAGGCCAATTAATGGCACGATAGGAACCAGCCACAAAATTATTACATACTTTTTGAGGAATAACTTGGTGGCTTATTCTTTATCATACCATTCATTGACTGAACGCATGGCTGGGTTACAATTTAAGATGGGATTAACTGGTTAATCTTGCCTTAAGTATAATTAGTGGCAGGAGGCTAAGAGGATGCAGGGCATGAGGCAGGTAGGCATTACATCTGAAAGGCACTATTTTGGGTGTTTGTACTATCCGATATGCTGGAAATAATTGCATCTCATTTTATCTCTACCCCTTTGCAGAGGAAGAAGTCCCAATAAAACAAGGAAACAACTGGCTCTTTTTTCTCTTTGCCATTTTACCACTAGTTTTCCTAGTGGTGGGCACTTTCCTCATTAAAAAGAAGTGTAAAAAGTCTGATTCATGCAGCACAGAAGGTAGGTGCCATGGAGAGAACGTAAATATTGTTTGAACTCAGTTGTTTTGGGCAGGCTGGGTTTTGGTTTGTTATGCATGGGGGCCCTTGAAGTCCACAGAGCCTTCACATGTCACAATGAACGGGGAAAGACAAAATACTCGTTATCTGAAAAGAGATCTTGCATCGGGTAGCAGCCTCATCCCCAGCAATAAGGCAGAAGGTTCCAGTTGTGGCCATCACACAAGCCCCGCCAGACCGCAGCGAGGCAGCTAAAGGGAACGGGCTGCTGTCAGGTCTTGTCCAGTTCAGCCTGCCCCCAGATGCCCCTGCGTAAATCCCAAATACCTTCACTGACCTCGGTCAGCCTGGCTCGGGTGTTCAGCTGGGTAGGGGAGAGCAGTCTGCGGCCCCGAGCTGGGACTTTCTGGAGCAGCCACACTGCCCCTAAGCCTGGCAAGAAGAGGACTGGCTCAAGACCCAGCAGCCTGCATGGAGTCGGGGACTAGGCAGGGTTCCCCCTTCGCTGCTAGCAGCTGTCATCTCAGCCGTATTGCTAAGGGCAGCCTCAGCGTAATGCACCTGGCCCTGTCGCTTCATTGTGTACTGACCACCTTCTTATGTGACAGATGCAGAGAAGCTGATTGAGGACAGGAATGCAGGTGAGTTTGACACTTCATTGGCCTTAATGGGTGCTGAAACCTTCTGCTAAGGTTTGGTTTGAAGAGCAAGAAGGTGGCAGAGAACAGCCAAGGATGTTTCTATCTAGATACACAGATGTCAGGGGCTGGAAGGGACCTTGGAAGATCGTCGCGTCCAGCCCCCTGCACCAGGCAGGAAAGACAAGTGGAGTCAGGTGAGCCCAGCGAGGTGACCGTCCCGTCTCCTCTTGAAGATTTCCAGGGTAGGCGGCTGCACCACCTCTCGGGGGAGCTTATTCCGCAGTCTGGCCACCCTAGCTGGGAAGGAGTTTTTCCTACTGTTGAGCCAGAAATGGTCTTCCAGGAGTTGGTGGCCATTACTCCTGCTTTCCTCTCGGGCAACCTGGGGAACAGTTGCTCACCGAGCCCTTGTTGTGCTCCCCTCGGGTAGCGGTAAGCTGCTACCAGGTCCCCTCTCAGCCTTCTCTTCCTCAGGCTGAAGAGGCCCAGGTCCCTCGGCCTGTCCTCGGATGGCTTGTCTTTTAAGACTCTGGTCATTCGGGTGACTCTTCTCTGGACTCTCTCAAGCTTGTCCACATCCTTGTTAAAGTGTGGTGCCCAGAACTGGACACAGTACTCCCGTTTCAAGCTTAACACTAGGAAAAACGTTCTCACAGTCTCACTGTGGAATAAGCTCCCCGAGAGGTGGTACGGTCGCCTACCCTGGAAATCTTCAAGAGGAGACTGGACGGTCACCTTGCTGGGCTCACCTAACCCCAGTTATCTTTCCTGCCTGGTGCAGGGGGCTGGACCCGATGATCTTCCAAGGTCCCTTCCAGACTTACAATCTGTATTTGGAAAACTTTCTCCCTGGGAGGGTAGGAAAGCACTGGAACAGGTTACCTAGAGGGTCGGTGGGCTCCCCATCCTTGGAGGTTTTGAAGGCCGGGGTAGACAAAGCCTTGGCTGGGATGATGGAGCTGGGGCTGGGCCTGCTGTGAGCAGGGGATTGCCTAGATGTGACCTCCTGAGCTCCCTTCCAACCCACATTTTCTATGATTCTTTGTTCCCCGAGACAGACCCAGAGATTTCAAACAGGAATCCAGTGTCACAAACGTCCTGCTCTGCTGTCCTTCTCAATTCTTTGCAAGGAAGGACTTTCTCTACTAGTTTTCCATAGGCCAAAAACGAGCGCAAGCAAACAGGTGGCGCTTGCTGAGCAGGGCCCTGAGTCAGAACAGGTCGGGAAGTGCTGCTCGTGTGCCTGCAGCCCCCGTGTTGCGGTGCCCGCCCCCCTGCTGGCACACGGGGGTACTGCACCCGCCCCCCCCCCCCCCCCCCGCGCAGGGGGAAGGGGACTGCACCCTGCATGCTAGAATAGCACCCCTGCAAGGGTGGCGGGGGCCTCCGAGGACATCTAGGCCTGTCCCCTACCGGACTCCCTGTTCCTACACCAGCCCAGGGGATGCGGAGTCAGTCTCTTCTCGAGAGCCTCCACTGCACCACTTCCCTGTGCAGCCTGCGCGGTCGTGTCACAGGTCTTCCCAGAAGGAAGATTCCCCGAAGAGCTGTTGTAAATGCACTCTGCGGAGGACTGCGTGTGAGCAGGGGGCAAGCCACTGCCTCGTGCCCTGGGGCCCTGGGTTTCTCTGGTTACAATTTGCAAATTCGCTCTTTAAATGATTTCCCCTCACTGCCCCCGCAATTCTCTGATTTACCCAAATCCACGTTTTTCCACAATTAAAATGAAACACCACTCTATATACATGAGTATCAGTTGAACGCAAGGTTTTATTGATATATTTATAATCTTAAAGCAATTTGGAAACCTACCAGGGCCTCAATCACTATAATAAAATACACTCTAAATACCGATACATTTTGGCATTTGATTTGGGGTTTTTTACCACTGCCTTGTGGTGCTGAGCAGCCCTGATATGCCAGTGCCCTGCCGGTGCCAGTGCCCCTCACTCCTGGCCCACAGCCCCATGAGAGAAACTGAGTTTTCCCACATTTTTCCATGGTGAATGGACAGTTAATCTTCTCTTTCCTGTGCATTCAACCTATTGGTTACCGACTAGTTTGATGGTGAATCTCTAGCTTTTGCCCCTGAGGACCTCCCTAGGCCTCTTTGCCTGTTACTTTGTCCGTCCGTGGGAATTTGCCTCCTGTTTCTCCAAGTTGATTAAATTCTGCCTGTTTGAAATCTGTCGGTGCACATGTTCTGCTGTTCTCACATCTTCTTTTCCTCAGTATCATAAAGCCTGCCATTGTGATCACTTCTTACCTTTCCGACCTCACTCACGTTCTCAATCAGTTCATCCCTTGTGGACTGAACCAGACCCCAAAGGGAATATCCTCCCAGTTGTTTCTTCAAGGGTTCGAGACCAAATGGTATTTTGTACAGGTTCTGCTTGACAGCTGTAACGTCACTCATAAGAAATTGAACCTACAACTAGACTGGGTTAGTCCTTTTGCATATGGTGATGCAGATTTGTTTAATGAGAATTTGCATAGGGCACGTCTACACGTGCATTTCCTGTGCAGCGAGCGGTTTTTAGGCCAGCGTCTACACAGGCAGGCCTTCCAGTGCACTAACACTGTGTGCAGACAGACTTGTTTGTCAGACCGAAGTCAGCAGTCCACACGCACAGTGTTACTGTGCAGTGAGGCGTGTGCACGTGCCTTACTGTGCAGTAACTAATCAGGAGTAAATTTGCTACCTACATCAAGCAAGTAGCAAATTTTTGCCCAATTCAGCATAAGTCACCATAGTTACTGCACAGTCTAGGTGTGCACATGTAGATGTGCACGTGTACTGCACAGTGGTTTTCGGTTACTGTGCAGCAACATAAATTACTGCGCAGTAACTGTGCACATGTAGATGCACCCACAGAGTGGGGACTTCAATGTACCAATGCAGTGAAACAAGAATACATTAAAAAAAGAAAAAAAGAGATGCATGGGATTTTATTTTGCCTGTGAGTTTTCTCCGCTGCTGTTGCTTTTATTTTACAGAAGTCCTGGAACGTTTCAGACGGGCGGTTTGTGAGAGATCTGCACCCTGCTACAAACTGTTTTCAGAGAAAGAATCAGATAACACCTTAGGCAGGAAACTATACATGATAAGTGGGAAAAAGCTACGCGCAGCCAGTGAAATAACCAATTATATATATCGAAGTCGGGAGAAAGTGGCTAGCATACAGCCCGAAGAGCTGTTCACCGCTAAGAAACCAAATGCCACACGGATGTTACTGGTGGGAAATACTGCCAAGATAATAAGCCGTACCTGTAAGAGGCTGCAACAGAAGTGGGCTTCAGAGGAAAACAAGGTGATCTACGGGTGTGTGATCTATATACCATGCAAGGAGCTGAAATCTAGTGAGAGCCCAATGAGTGTGAGACAGCTGCTGGAACAGCAGTGCAAAGAGCTAGCCCCCGTTCTGCCTGATCTTCTCAGTACCAGGACAGTGCTCATTATTCTCGATGGACTAGAGGAGTTCAAGGATGATCTGAGCGACACACAGTCCTCTGGGAGTCTGGATATCGATACCCCTTTAGTCATCAGCGCTCTGGTCTGGAAAGTCATCACCAAGGATCTTCTCCCAGAAACAGATGTTCTGGTAACTGCCCAGCTAACTACAGTGAGTGAAATCGGGAAGCATTTTGAGGACATATTTGTAATCTTTGACTTTACTTCTGATCAGATTAAGCAATATTTTGACATAGGTCTTCAAACAAAAGAAATATTTCATTGTAACTTTGGTGCCGTGACAAAGCAGGAGCTGTTGCCTTTGGTAGCTGTTCCTCTCCAAATTGATCTTTTGTGTGATGCATTGATGACTGTTTCCAAAAACCTGGATATCAGAAATGAGCAACTTACACCTGATGAGAGGGTGTCTTCTTCTTCGCAGCTCAGTTCAAGGACCCTGGAAGCAGATGGCACTGATACGACACCTCCTGTCCCTGCACTGAATGCAGACTCCAAATTTCTAGAAGATATTAAAGAAATTACCTTTCGTCTGGCAAAGATGTGTTATGACTGTCTGGTCTCTGATGCACAGGAGATACAGAGAGAGGATCTTGAGAGGTATCGTGTTGATCCTGACATTCTCACAAAGCATTTTCCCCATTTCTTTTTAAGTAGAAAAGAGGGTAAATTTTTTGTGACTCAGCATCCTGGCGTAAGGAGCATGTTTGCTGCCTTGCACTGTGTCCGGCGGATCCAGGATGCAGAAGAGCTGAAGGAGTTCCTGGATACCTGGGTTTCTGGGCATCTCCCTGCACAAGGAAAAAGCAAAAGCCTCCTAAAGGATGTCCCCTTCAGTTGTCTAGCAGAAAGGCAACATTTCATCAGGTTCTTCATGGCTCTCTTGCCTTACAAAAACACCAAAGACTTCTTATGGGGCCCACGTCTACTCAGTGATGCTCTAAGAAGACCTCTGCAGAAGTGGTTTGAAGCCTGGATTGCTCAACGCCTTGACAAAATGCATTTGCTCAACCTTCTCCATTGTGTGTTTGAGCTGCACGACACCTCTCTGACCCAGGATGTGTCACGTTGCTTTACGCACATCACTTTGCACCACATTCCCCTCAGCCCTGCAGACATTGGAGCTATGAAATACAGTCTGGAGAAGTCCAAGATGCAAGTGTTAGACTTAAGGCTGTGCGACCTCCAGGATGAAAACTTAGAGCAACTGGACTCTGTAATGAAGAGCTGTACGCAAGTCTGGTGAGTTATTCCTTGTTAACTGTCTGTTAGTGGGGAAGTATGTCTGAGACGCCGATGCCTCGTCCCCTCTGTGGATGTCGACAAGCTGAGTGGAGTTGCAGGCACCTCAGGGGACAAGACTGGGATTCCAGATGATCTGATAAATTGGCAAAATGGTCTGAAATAAAAGGGATGAAGTTCAGTAAAGGACAAGTGCAAAGTGCTACACGTAGGGTAGTACTCAGCCCCAAGCAGTCAGCACATGCTAGCAGGCCTGGCTGGACGTGATAACCAGCTAATGGGAGTGAAGCCACCAACACAGAAAACTCTAGGAGGGAATCCCGGAAGAGGAGAGGGCTGGGGGAAGCCCAGAACTAAAACTGCCCCTCTCCTGGTGGAGGAGGACAGAGGGTTTTGCTTTGTTTGTTCCATTTATTGGTAGTTCAGTGTGGAATAAAATTGTCTGAGAACCTGAAACCAAAGCTGACTTGTGTAGGGCACCAGAGTAAGTAACCTGGTTGCAATGTAGTTTAAAATGTCAAAAGCAAATTTCTGGACCCATCCAAATATAATCAGATTTTAATACGACGATCAGATGTGATGCTTCGGGAATGATATGACTTGTTCCTATGGAGTCTTCAAGAAGAAAGCGTGCACGGGACTGGGATATACAATGTCAGCGCAATGTATTACAAACCTCGTCTCTGAGCACTGGGTAAGAAAACAGTGACATCTAAACACATCTAAATGAAATAGCTGCATATAGTCCCTTTCCTAAAGTGCTTGTAGAAACGTAGGGACCATAATTAAACAAATAATAAATACCAACAACATGGCACCTCTACATGCCTTCTGCTTCCTTAGAGCAGACCTAAGCAGTGGAGAAAACTACAGTATGCAGGGAGAGATTCACTGAATGCAGAATTCAATCCAGTTACAGACTATGCCGAGAAGGCTGAAGTATTTGGTGACTTCTTTACCTTGTCTAACAAGGGCCCCCAACCCCTGCTGCGGACTCGAGGCCAGGCAGCTGCAGGAGGTCGGGTGGGAATTAGCAGACAGCTAAATGAATAATGAGTGAAGCAGAACAGAGGGAACTGCTGCTCTTGAGACCAAAGGCAAACTCCTGCAGCTTGCTGTGAAACTGATAGGTCAGGTGACCGGAAGAGGAGGAGCAAAAGGCCATATAAGCCTGGCTCCTAGGATAGAGCCTCAGAGTGGCTCCTGCTAGACTCAGAGAAGGAGCTTTGCAGACCTGGAAGAGAAGGAAGCTCTGCAGAGCATCATATGATAGCTCAGTGGTTTATATTTCCTTTTGGTTTATGTTGTTTGAGCCATAAGGCATGGAGTAGCTGAAGGGGAGGCAGGAGATCACTAAAGACAGCCAGAGAGAGGGTGTGGACTGCACTACTGGACTGAAGGCTCTACTCTGTTGAGGGTTAACCAGTCCCAGAGATGGTGTGCAGATGGTGAGGGAAAAGTACCAAAGGAGTCATCCTGGTGGACAAGGTCAGCCTCCCAAGTTAGCATCTTTATTTTCCACCAAAGACATGGCAGCTGAGGATATGGTAGTACCCTGAGTAGCCCGAGGGAGACAGCATGGGCATAGAATGGCAGAGCTTGGGTCAGAGGGCCTAGTGCCTAGAGCAAGGCAGAGGCATGGCCAGGGGCCCGGAGGATGGCAGAAAGAGCCAAGGGAGGCTCAGCAGCCCATGAGAGGGCAGAGACAAAGGCCCCAGAAGGCTAGATAAGCAGCTGGGAACCCCAAAGCTTGGTGTGGTCAGTGGACTGGAGCTAGAGGACTCAGCTAGAGACAAAGGGTAGAGGTCAGGAAGGCCAAAGTCCAATGCATGAAGCAATTGCAGGCTCACTCTAAGTCCCTCAGACAGCCTCATAACAAACATAAAAGGCATGGCAGGAACGTAAAGGAGGTGGGGGCACCTGGAGTTTGAGCCAGGGCAGGAACTGTGTGGCCACTAAGGGGCATCACAGTCACCCTAGGACCCGAACCTGTCACCCAGCCCATGTGGCCAGATGAGTTTGACACCCTGGATCTAGGGAATTGCAGCACAGCCAGACTGACCTTGATACCTGGAAAGGTCATGGAGCAGGCTATCAAGGACTCTCTTTCGAAGCCCCGGGAGGAAAAGATGATCAGGAATAGTCAATGTGGATTCACCAAGAGTAAGTCAAGCCTGACCAACTTGATTTCCTCCTGTGATAAGGTGACAGGCTCTGTGCCTGTGGGGAGAGGAGTGGGTGAAGCAGGGATGATCCTACCTGGAGCAGGCGGCTGGGCTAGATGACCTGTTGAGGTCCCTTCCATTC